GTTGGGATGGGAACATTACGGCAGGTGTTGGGATGGGAATAGGACGGCAGGTGTTGGGATGGGAACATGGCGGCAGGTGTTGGGATGGGAACATGACGGCAAGTGATGGGATGGGAACATTGCGACAGGTGTTGGGATGGGAACATGGCGGCAGGTGTTGGGATGGGAATAGGACGGCAGGTGTTGGGATGGGAACATGGCGGCAGGTGTTGGGATGGGAACATTACGGCAGGTGTTGGGATGGGAATAGGACGGCAGGTGTTGGGATGGGAACATGGCGGCAGGTGTTGGGATGGGAACATGACGGCAAGTGATGGGATGGGAACATTGCGACAGGTGTTGGGATGGGAACATGGCGGCAGGTGTTGGGATGGGAATAGAACGGCAGGTGATGAGATGGGAACATGGCGGCAGGTGTTGGGATGGGAACATTACGGCAGGTGATGGGATGGGAATAGGGCGGCAGGTGTTGGGATGGGAACATGGCGGCAGGTGTTGGGATGGGAACATTACGGCAGGTGTTGGGATGGGAACATTACGGCATGTGATATGATGGGAACATTACGACAGGTGATGTGATGTGATCATGACGGAAGATGATGAGTTAGGAATATAACGGCAGATTATGTGATGGCGATGACGACAAGGGATATAATGGGAATATGGCAACAGGTTGTGAGAAGGTAACATGACGACAGGTGATGGGATGGGAACACGACGGCAGGTGATGGGATGGGAACATGGCGGCAGGTGTTGGGATGGGAACATGGCGGCAGGTGTTGGGATGGGAACATTGCGACAGGTGTTAGGATGGGAACATGGCGGCAGGTGTTGGGATGGGAATAGGACGACAGGTGTTGGGATGGGAACATGGCGGCAGGTGTTGGGATGGGAACTTTACGGCAGGTGTTGGGATGGGAACATGGCGGCAGGTGATGTGATGGGAATAGGACGGCAGGTGTTGGGATGGGAACATGGCGGCAGGTGTTGGGATGGGAACATTACGGCAGGTGTTGGGATGGGAACATTACGGCAGGTGTTGGGATGGGAACATGACGGCAAGTGATGGGATGGGAACATTGCCACAGGTGTTGGGATGGGAACATGGCGGCAGGTGTTGGGATGGGAACATCACGACAGGTGATGGGATGGGAACATTACGGCAGGAGGTGATGGGATGGGAATAGGGCGGCAGGTGTTGGGATGGGAACATGGAGGCAGGTGTTGGAATGGGAACATTACGGCAGGTGTTGGGATGGGAACATGGCGGCAGGTGTTATGATGGGAATAGGATGGCAGGTGTTGGGATGGGAACATTACGGCAGGTGTTGGGATGGGAACATTACGGCAGGTGATGAGATGGGAACATGACGGAAGATGATGAGTTAGGAATATAACGGCAGATTATGTGATGGGAACATTACGGCAGGTGATGGGATTGGAACATGGCGACAGGTGATGTGATGGGAATAGGACGGCAGGTGATGGGATGGGAACATGGCGGCAGGTGATGTGATGAGAATAGGACGGCAGGTGATGGGATGGAAACATGGCGGCAGGTGATGGGATGGGAGCACGGCAACAGGTGATGCGATTGGAACAAAACGGCAGGTGATGAGATGGGAACATGGATACATGTGATAAGATGGCAACATAACTGAAGCTGATGTGATGGAAACATGACGGCAGGTGACAAAATGGGAACATGATAGCAGACGATTACAGGGGAACAGCAGGTGATGAGATTGTAACAGGACAGCAGTTGATGGGATGTGATCATGACGGCAGATGATGAGAAAGGAATATAACGGCAGATTATGTGATGGGAACATGACGGCAGGTGTTGGTATGGGAACATGGCGGCAGGTGATGGGATGGGAACATTGCGACAGGTGTTGGGATGGGAACATGACGGCAGGTGTTGGGATGGGAACATGACGGCAAGTGATGGGATGGGAACATTGCGACAGGTGTTAGGATGGGAACATGACGGCAGGTGTTGGGATGGGAACATGGCGGCAGGTGTTGGGATGGGAACATGGCGGCAGGTGTTGGGATGGGAACATGGCGGCAGGTGTTGGGATGGAAATAGGACGGCAGGTGTTGGGATGGGAACATGGCGGCAGGTGTTGGGATGGGAACATTACGGCAGGTGTTGGGATGGGAACATGACGGCAGGTGTTGGGATGGGAACATGGCGGCAGGTGTTGGGATGGGAACATGGCGGCAGGTGTTGGGATGGAAATAGGACGGCAGGTGTTGGGATGGGAACATGACGGCAGGTGTTGGGGTGGGAACATTACGGCAGGTGTTGGGATGGGAACATGACGGCAGGTGTTGGGATGGGAACATGACGGAAGATGATGAGTTAGGAATATAACGGCAGATTATGTGATGGGAACATTACGGCAGGTGATGGGATGGGAACATTACGGCAGGTGATGGATTGGAACATGGCAACAGGTGATGTGATGGAAACAAGGCGACAGGTGATGAGATGGGAACATCACGACAGGTGATGGGATGGGAACATTACGGCAGGTGATGGATTGGAACATGGCAACAGGTGATGTGATGGAAACAAGGCGACAGGTGATGAGATGGGAACATTACGGCAGGTGATGGATTGGAACATGGCAACAGGTGATATGATGGAAACAAGGTGACAGGTGATGAGATGGGAACATTACGGCAGGTGATGGATTGGAACATGGCGACAGGTGATGAGATGGGAACATTACGGCAGGTGATGGGATGGAAACATGGCGGCAGGTGATGGGATGGGAGCACGGCAACAGGTGATGCGATTGGAACAAAACGGCAGGTGATGAAATGGGAACATGGATACATGTGATAAGATGGCAACATAACTGAAGCTGATGTGATGGAAACATGACGGCAGGTGACAAAATGGGAACATGATAGCAGACGATTACAGGGGAACAGCAGGTGATGAGATTGTAACAGGACAGCAGTTGATGGGATGTGATCATGACGGCAGATGATGAGAAAGGAATATAACGGCAGATTATGTGATGGGAACATGACGACAACAGCTGGTAATAGAACTGTGTACATAACAGAAGAAAATTATTGACATCATCTATAGTTTCCAATGCGAAGAATGTTGAGAAAGTCAATGACAAGGGGAGAAAAACAAGTTATAAAGACATTTCCAGGGATCGACATAAGACAGTCACGGTCATAATTGTCAACGCATCACGGCACGCATGCTTGTACACACACTTACACCTACACATCCTCACATTTCTTCTCGTATCCACACAAATCTCTGTCTGTCTGTCTGTCCCTCTCTCGCCCCTCTCTCCTCTCTCTTCTGCTTCCCCCACCCCCCCCATCTCCCTCAGTCATATTCACTTTCTCGCATACACACCTACACCCTCATAAAAATGTTATCAGTATTACGCATGCTATAAAAATTGTATAAAACAAAATATTGAATACTGAACGCAAATTGAAAAAAAAACCAAGATACTCATGTAATTCCACTAATCTCATTTAACTGTATAAAATGTACATTCATTTGTGTTTATTTACCATGAACCTATAGATAGAGTATATGTGCACCTTTAGTAGACAATATTCACAATAGATAGAATTATATGCAGCACTATGTATATACCATACCAGAAAAAACTGCAAGTCCATCACACTATGTAAACCAGGGCCAGGGCCTCTAACTTGCAGTTATGAATTAGTAGTAAGTATGCAATAAGATACAGATGAGATCTAGACCTGCAAGTCCATCACACTATGTAAACCAGGGCCAGGGCCTCTAACTTGCAGTTATGAATTAGTAGTAAGTATGCAATAAGATACCGATGAGATCTAGACCCATACACTGTCACATTTTGGCCAGCTTTGGATTGCATGATGACGGAGTTTGCAAGGACTTAGAAAATACCGAGATATTACTAATTTATTTCTCGTCAGCATTGGTATAAAGACAACTGATTACATACGAAAAATATCAAGACTAATACTTTAAATTGCTTTAATTGATACACAAGCGGGGAAGCAAAATGCAGACGCACCACACCTACATGCAGCTACTCATTCCGGTAAAAAATTATCGCACATGTATTATCAATCTAAAACAACAGAAGTGGGAGACACTTAAAAAATAGTCCCACAAAAGGAAAAAAAATCACTAAACAATAAACACGTAAGACGGAGATGTGGGCATACAGGACAACTTATCAGAGACCGTAATAATCGTACCCAATACAAATATATATATATAAATTGTTTTCATATGTTATAAATCTACCAAGAATTATGAGATCAAATGATAAAATGACGGCACTATTGTGAAGAATAGGTTACGTGAGTATCCGTTTGTATATTTAATCCTATTGAAAGATATCTATGAACTGATCACACAATGTATAATTCTCATAGCATGGAACTCTTAAATAGTGAAAGATATTCGTAAGTGAATATCTCTGAATGAAATAAAGTTCATATTGAAAATTGAAGTGTGATAATAGATGTAAAACGAAAAAAATGTCTTTCAAAATCAGCTTTTAACATTTTATCAAAAATGAAGATTAGGAAACACGTAGCGATGTAAATAGGAAATTTGGGAAAATACTGAGTTTGGTGTAGAGCATCAAAAAGATTCTGTGTCGGCAATTTTATATAAAAATATCACATTTCAGTCAAAGAAATGTAACAAAAATGCATACTGAACTGTACCTCATATACCTTTCAATGATAGGAAATGCTACATATTTTTCGAAAAAAGGAGAAAAGTATGAATATGAGATGCACAGACTTATTCCATTCCGTTGCAAAACCTACATGCCTGAAGCTTGTGTGCGCTAGGTGCGCGCAAGCATCATCGCAATGCATTGTGGGAATAGTAATGACATCATATCTCATTTACATATTCAGATTATATTGTACATGTTCGCCATTTTGGTAGTAGAGAATTTGTGTGGCTACCATCCCAAGAATCCACTTAAAATCGGCCATCATCGGTCCTTGTAGGGATTTTATTAAGGATTACCTATAGTCTTTTGACATCACCCAAGCGAACGGACCTGTGTAAGTAGTGCATTATTCGCTCAGATTATTAATATTTTGATTTGTTTACAACCTGTCTCACCGAACTCTTTTGTCATGCATAGTCGGCTATAATGTCCGACGCTTCCTTTCATAGCGTCACTTCATACCATGGTAACAAAAAAGGCTTATATTTATGTACGTTTTAAGTATGAAATATGCTTCTGTTCTTGTAACTTAAAATGAATGAAGCTTAGTGTAATGAAATGCATTTGAAGGAACTTCTTATTATTAATTTTCTTCCATGCTGTCCTTTGCATAAAATTACGATTCGGCAATGGTTCTGTTATTATAAAATCGTCTTGTTAAACTGTTGAATAAAGTGCTAGAGATTCTCTCGTGATCTCTTAACGCAAGTTTATTTTTTTCTTCGTACTTCAATGCTGATTTCTATACCCCGTTTATATGAATGGAAACCAGATCTGACAGCATTTCTGGGAACTCATGGTCGTCATTTTCGTTACGTTCTCGAAAATCAAATCCGAATGATGATAAACATCATGAAGATATCAATTTAGGTTCCATGGAAAGGAATCCGTGTGATTGTTAAACACATGCTCCCAAATTTAATCATGCATGGGTTTTCATTTTGGAAAGGTAGGTCATGAGTCAACCTCAGCAGCAAAATGTACCGGTAGCTGTACCTGTTGACCCACTTCCTGTTGTACAATTATGGGTGGAGTTTCGAAGAAAATTATATCCAGAGTTTGCTTTACAAAGAGTCTTTGTTTCTATTGGTATTTTTCTGACAGAGGTCGCTAATTAATATAACACAGCATTGTACTACAAATTTATGGATTGAATCATTGATGGACCATCTGTCACTTCAAGCACTTGCATGCCTATGATTAAACATGTGTCAACCTGTAGGTGATTTATTTAAAATCAGGAATGTTTTTTCATTGTTAACTGTAGCAAAGACTCAGATTTGAACTTTCTGTAATTGCTATAAACATAAGTTTTACAGAAGCTGGTATGGATTTCTGTTGGCTTTATATAATTATAAACATTCTTTTGTTGTTTGACAAAAAACAAAGGAAATGGTGTAAAAATGGTTTATGATGTACAGCTATGGAAGTTTTCTATTATATATGAGCATTTGATGTGCCTTAAAATGCCACCCACCTAATTTTTCCTGAGATTGAGCATGTTGTTAGTAAATTGTTATTTTGAAATTAAATAATTCAAGCTCATATAGCTTGCTTTGCAGATATACATTATAAACAATTGCAGGTTAAGATTTTGTACCAGAATGAAAAATAGAACTAATGATTAAGTCAGTTTGAGAAATTGTGAATTAAAATATTGCTGAGGACTAATCCTTGAAGTTATATCTTATTCTAAATGCAATGATAATTGAGTTTCTAGTAAATGTGAAATATCGTCAGTTTATCATATTATTCACAGGACTGCACAGCCACATCATTCTTTATGAGAGTGCTAATATATTCTGACTGATGTACATTTCGACAAGTTTAATGTGCATTGACAAATGAAATTAATTTCTATATGCATTGTTGTTAATTATGAAGTGATTTTAAAGTTTTCAAATGTACTGTACATGTATTGTCTTGGCAATAGCTTCTGTAAAGCTTCCATTGTGACTGCAGGAAGTAAATTAATACTCAAACCCAACAAAATTTCACTGGTTTTTGAAACTAGGCCATGTCAGATTGTTGGGTAAACTTTAGCTGAATCCACAAAAAAAAAAAAAAAAAATACATTGATATTGATTTGATACTACTCCTCAAAGGAATTGTTTTTGTGGCTGTAAAATTTATCAGAATTCGCTTTCTGTCTAATTTGATAAATATGAAAAAAATTATCGATTTAAGTTTTATTAGAGACAAAGTGTTGTAAGATTACACAGTCATTGGATGCAACAGCTTGGGTTTATTTTCATGGCGTAACACTCAGTAATTGAATGAAGTGCATCTGGTTTAGATTAGAGAAATTTCAGTAATAGATCCTATCCTGTTGCATTACTAAAGTTAGGGGTTTACACTATGCACATAGTTGATACAAAATCAAGCAAAGGAATGTTGGCATGTTAAACTTTATGTAGGTTTGTATGAAATTTAATTTTGAATTTGTTCTCTTTCAGTTTTTAACGGTTCGTTCATAGGGTAAGAGGGAGAAAAATCTTCAATGACTGCTAAGGCAAGATGTCCTCACTCTCGGGGTTAGGTAAAGGTGACAGAGGAAGGGGAAAGTACAAATCTATAGATATAAATACCCTGTATCAAGGCAAAAGTGTACCAGCACAAAAATCTACCGGTAAGTTGGATTTGTTGATCCACATTTCATTAAAAAACACTCATCCTTTCTTTACCTCTAGTGTTGAAGAGATTTTAAGTTGCATTTATTTTAAGTTACTTCATCATTAAAAAGTACTGATGCATTTTGAAATTTACTAAAATCTAGTACCTGCTTAATGTTATAATCTTTCTTTTGAAATCTACATTACTTCGTTTAAATTGAGGCCAAAGTAAAACTAAATCATGATGTGTTTTTGCATTTTAGTTACTCGTCAGCATGGGTTACAAAGCCTGGGTAAAGTGGCAAATGTGCGGCGCATGCCGCCTCCGGCCAACTTACCAAGTTTGAAAAGTGAAAACCTCGGAAACGACCCAAACATCACTCTTGTTCCAACTGGAGGATCAGGTAATGCATCCTTATCCGTTTGGTATTTTTTTGGTAGTTACAGGTCATTTGAAAAGGCAATTGTCACCAATACACTTGATGTGGAAGATGAGTCCCAAGAAAAGAATAAAAAATCCTCTCAACACCTTGATTTTGAATGTAAAACAAGCATTCAAAATATTTTGGCTTTGAACTGCATTACAGTATTTGTTAATGGAAAAGTAATATTTGTTTATGGAAAAGTAATTTTAATTTTTTTTTAAAAAGGATGGGGCACAAAGGAGAAAGAGCAGGAGAAGCAGAACACCAGTACGAATCAGCAGCCATCGTCGCAGCCGCAGCAGGCTACCACACAGTCATCGGGGCAGAACGTCAGCAGTGTAGGTTAATTAAGTTTTTCAACCCAAATAGAAATGTCTTTGAAACAATGACTTAAATTGGAAATAGATATGGTATTGTATGAATATTCTAAAAAATCTTTGGAAAAGAAATTTCTCTGAAAATGACATAAAACTCATCCTTTTACTATCTAGTATTATCTTCTTTCAGCAGGCAGGTGTTGCTGGGGGCACAAATATTGCAGCAACATCAGTATCAACACCAACAACAACAGCAGCAGCAGGGGCAACGGGCAAGCCATCATGGAGCAGTGTAACAGTTGGGGACACAGCAAAGGGCAATGTTGTCAGTCACCAATCACCAATGTTTCAGGAGGAGTTTCCAACGTTAAAATCAGCAGAGGACAAAAAAGATGGCAAGAAAGAAGACGAACCACCTTCTCAGGTTGTTACAAAAGATTTACCATATGGACCAGGGCCAAGTTTACGACCTCAAAGTAAGTGGAATGTTTGACAATATGTATATAACAAAAAAATCCTGTATATTAAAAGGTTGCTTCAAGCCTGTTTGGTCCATATTATTGGCATTGATATTTCATTTTGTTTTCACAAAAAACACATGAACATTCTCACTGGTAAACATTTCATTGACATAAACATTTGGGGCAAAAAAGGTGAATATGCTTTGTTTCAACAATGGTTCACCAAAAGGAATTGTTATTAGCAGTTTTGACAATGGTTAACCAAAAGGAATTGTTATTAGCAGTTTTGACAATGGTTAACCAAAAGGAATTGTTATTAGCAGTTTTGACAATGATTAACCAAAAGAAATTGTTATTAGCAGTTTCAACAGTGGTTCACCAAAAGGAATCGTTGTTAGCAATTTCAACAGTGGTTCACCGAAGAATTTGCTAGCAGTTTGAACCTTATTTTTAAAGAAATATACAACTGATCCACAGTTTGTGATATGATTTCAAATACTTTTCTCATCCTATGAACTTATTTTTAAGATGTCGGGAGTTGGCGAGAAGGAGGAGGACGTGGCGCTATGCAGCAGCAGCAGCCCAAACCAGACACACCATCATCTCAGTCTTCTCCACAGCCAAGCCAGACAGAAACACAACAGAATGGCCCCCCGACGTCCGGTGGCCCACCACCTTCCAGTGGGGCTGAAAGCCCTGGGACCCAGCAAGCGCCACCCAGGCCTGGGTCCAACCAAGGTCCTGGTACTCAGGGGCCAATGCCCATGGGGCCACACATGGCCATTCCCCCACAGTATAGGATGATGCCACCCTATGTGAGTTTCATTGTGATTTTATCAAAATTTTGAAATCTGTGCAAGCTGTGATTAACCTTATTTTGAAATAGGCTTTTTTAAAGTTTGTCTTTTCAATAACCTATTGTTTTGGTTGCCAGATGTATGGAAGATTTCCACCAGGGTACCCACCAAACTATTCAGGAATGCCACGACCTCCTTACCCATATGACTCAAGGTTAGTTTTTGCTACATTTAAAGATTTTTTAAAATTGTAAAGTATAGATGATAATAAAAAAAGATAATTTCATAGATTTGTATGTTAATCATAAATGCTCTCATTATTTTCAAAATATCAAACAAGTTGACAAGTTCTCGTATTTTCCTATATTTCATATAAGATTCAGACACCCCGGGCCAATGCAGATGCAACAGAGGCCTCCATTAGACAGCAGTGAAGAAGGATACAAGAGGCCCCCGGTTATCACGGACAAAGACCTGAAAAGCTTTGACAACATGAGATTGGACAAAAGTGATGAGGGCTGGGCTGGTGCCCAGGGAGACATTGACTACTCGTAAGACCTTATATATTTTTTCCAGCTTGTAGAGAATATCCCTAGTTGATGTTGTGGTTCTTTCACTTATTTGAGCAGTAGGTGATGATGTTGAATTGAAAACATTTCTTAAATAATATAGTTTTGAAAATAAATTTGGTTAATCGGGGACAATACATGTGGTGTTTTAAAAGTAATATTATGTAGGTATGTGTATTTTGTGAAATTAATTTACCTTGGCTGTTGCTAGGCTAATGATATGTTGAAAATTTCATCACCTACTGAAGTAGTGGTTTACTAATATGTGTTACTGTTAAGATAGGAAATTCAGCTGCATGATGCTCTCTAATAAGGAGGATGTGATTTTAAGCCAGCAATTTTGTCATTGCCTGAAGGATAACATAATGTTGTGTACAATACTGTAATTGCCATAACACTTTTGATGTAGAATATCTGCATTCTTAGTATTGTTATTTCTGTATTCTCTGTCATTCCTGTTACTGCCACCTTAGTAAAATTTTCAAATTAGACAGAATTTTTCCAAATGAGAATTCTTTTTTGTGTTCAGTGTTGTCAAGATTTGGGCATGACTTTGTTTGGATATTGTAATTTTTTGTGCATGTCTTTGTTGTAGTTGTTGGAAACTGTCTTGGTCGGCGGACATTGGTAACCAATTGAACAAATGTTTTTCAGTAGTTAGGTTTCAGCACAAGTGTTTTCTCCAAATTTAAAAAAGAAATGAGGATGGGTTGATATGCTTTGGTAAAGTAATGAATAGAAAGATTTTATTTTGGAAAAGAATTTGTAGTGTGTTTTGCACCATCCTATGCTCTGGAAAAAAAAATATAAAAACATAGTGAGAAATTCATCCTGTTACAGCAGAGAGGAAAAAGCTCATGGGAAAGGAATAAAAAAAAAAAAAAACAATAAAACCACTCATATAAATCATCAAAAATTATTTGGCTTGTGGTTGTTCCACAGAAGAAAATTTTCATGTAAAATATTTTCCAGAATATAAGTTGCATCTTTTTTCCCTCACAAGTTGGGCGTGCAGCTTATATACTGGCGCAGCTTATATGTGGACAGGAAAAAAGATTGACAGAATTTGCGACTCATATGGGGGGGGGGGGGGGGGGGGGGGTGAAAAAAAATGTAGCATACCAGAACAGGACTCTTCTCCTTTTTTTAAAGAGTACCTGCCCACAACATGTTTGTGACTGAAAGAGATCCTGTAGAACTGTCAGTTGTAATTGTACACAAAATGATTCGACTGTTGCATTAAAAGTAACATTCTTGTGGATTTTAATACCTTTGAATACTAATCACTGATCTAGACATTGGCGGTTACTTCACAGCAATTACAAGAAGGCATGGCAGAGGTTAAGAATAGCCAATTGCACTCTGGGATTGATAGTTCATCTGGCAATAGGTTATATTCTAGAATGACTGCCATGCTTTTTTACAATATGAATGGCTTTGTGTAATTTACAATTTTAAAATAATATTGGACTGAAAGACTTTTGTCAGCATGCAAGGGACCTTCTTTGATATTCAACAGTACAGACACTGGTGCATAGATTGTTTAGTAAACTGTACATAAAATCTAGCCAATATCTGCATAGACAATCTTTGAAGGCCATAGCCAAACAAGTTCAATTTTGCTGTTTTTTGTATTTTGAATAACCATACTGATTTTTGAAATGTGCATAACGCACTCGCAAACTTTATTAAATGTTTGACTGACGATCATGATGAATTGCCTTCTGTTTTCTGTTATATCAACAAACTTGGCTCTGCAGCTTATATGCTGGTGTGACTTATAACCCAGAAAATACGGTAATTAACACTTTGAAATTGACGAGCATTATTATATTAAAGGGGATATAGGGTCAATGCTAATTTGTGTTTAATATTATGTTATATTAACAGTTTCTTTTTTGTTATTGCAGAGAAAAACTTGTGTTCAGTGATGACGAGGACAGCAATGAAGGCAGACGGTATGTTAATGTCTTTAAAAGTATTGATAATTTATAATTGTCAAAAGTGAATTATACTGTAAAGAGAAAATTTGTACTTCAAGATAAGGCTATTCAAACATGTATGAAGGTGTTATATTTAGTTAGCGTTGTCATATCTGTTTTATCAAGATCTAATTTCTTGAATGTTAAAGTGATTAGGAAAGAATACAATATTTAGAGTACAACTGTCAAGCTGTGTTGAAAGAGCTTTTAAAGCTGACTTTCAAGTACACTGTTTTATGTTTTGAATTTGTTTGTTTAGTCGAGAGAAAAAGAAGCAGCAGGAGCAGCCTGACCACTCTGGCAAAGCTAAGGCAAGTGGTGATAACGACGAGGAAAAGGACAGAGATGAAATGTCCAAGGTATATTGGGAAACAGCTTTCCTTCATCTCTCTGCAGCAGGAGCTCATCAACTCACCTCTCACAGGCTGTAGAGCTCATTACAAGTCCGCCACTCTCTCTGTCATAATAGCCTGTTAATTATTGGAAGAGATCTTCTCTGTTGATCATTAAGACATGAGGATCTGTTTCCTGTCATTGTATAGAGCTATACTATAATGCTACTTTTGCCGGACTTTTGCTTTATTATTCATCACTCACCTTGACCTAAATAATGGACCTCTTGCTATTTACTATTGTTTAATAATCATATCTTTTAGCATATTTATAATATATCCAATCTTTCAAAACCTGTTCTTGTGTAAAAAATATAGCTTGTGAATGTAACTGGAATTCTTTAAAATCCAGTTGCGATGTATTTCTTAAAGATGGCATTATTAACATTCATATTTAAAACAAATCTGCTTTTCATCATGCTTTTATCATATCACCACCAAATGTGAAACATTTAAAGCATAGTTAACTATGTTGTTTCTTTCTTGTTAGCATGACGAAAACCAAACCGGAAAACTGCAAAAAATATGGTGTAAAGGGTTATTTTATATGATCTCTCTCCATAATTGTCTGTTATTTTCCACTTTGTATCCACAGTTGGCATCTAACAATCTGGAAACTGCTTGCAAACTTCTGGACATTTGATATCAATTTAGTATTTGCCTGAACTTAACTTTTGTATAAGCAATGAATCATTCATGCAAATAAGTGAAAATTGATTTAAGCTCACTAGGAGCTGTTTCAGTCAAATATTTGCAGCAGGGGACTCCATGTTGATCATAATTAACAACCAAGAACCATCTGAGCTACATTTTCTTTAGAATCTATTTAAAATGTAAGGAAGGTATGTTTTGAAGTCCTTCCAAATGATCCAGTTTACAGTAAATGCCTTCATTGTTGGTAAACATGCATGAAAGAAAGTTATGTTTGTTTTAGTAATGTAGCTTGCTTTCCATCATGTAATATTTGCTTTGTATTGTACTGGTTTTTGTTCTTAATGATATTTAATTATTGTTCAGGGGGAACATGGTCCACCTATGTCTAGAGAAGCTTGGAGCCAAGGACAGATACCACCCCAATATAGAGGACAACCACGACCACCACACCCAGGCATTGATGGGGTAAGCTGATTTTCTTGTTTAATTTGATTTATAAGTGAACTATTTGTCATTGCAATTGGATCGTAAATACAGTGACTGAGCTATTTGCTTTAACTTTTATGTATCTATCAAACTTTAAAAAAAAGAAGACCAAAAAAAAACATGTTTTTCCTATTTACAGCGATGGCAGATGCCCCCTTATGATTTTATGGGGCCACCTCCAAGGGGACCCCCTTATCCACCACCTTATAGGGTACCTCCTGGTGCACCTCCTCAGGTATGATATGTTCTGAAATGTGTCCCAACCTAAAAAAAGTGTGTTTAACTGAAATTATTATTTATTGAGAGAAAATGTTTTGCCAAATGATGACCTGTGGTTAAACTTAGTTTTTTCGAAGATGACAATTTCATCACTCACCGAACTGATGGCATTACAGAAGAAATATGCTATGATTTGTGTGTCTGGCGTCAAATGACGAGTTGCAGTGCTTTCATAGTATGATAGTTTCTCAAGATCTTGAGTGTGTTTGGTGTGAATATCATCACACAGGCTTTTTGCTATTGCAGCAAATTGGAATAATTTATAAAGTTATAAAGATAGAATATTGGCATCTTTTCATAAAAAAAATGTGAAACCAAAGGCATTTTATGTCCCCATCATGAAATGGCAAGTTTCTCAATCTATCATTAGTCATAGTTTGGTTTCTGCATATTTAGTTTTAATGGAAAGAGATATGGAATTGAAATGGGAGTCATTGCCCTCAGATAGTTGTTATTTACTTCAGTCATCAGCCTTGGTTGACAAATACCCAGAGTCATGAATACACCTCATAACATGCAAATACACCTATGGAAAGGTAACGAACACTAAAAAGCTCTATATATGTACAAGCTTTAAAAAGTCATTAACATTAAAAAGTTACACATGTTCACCCTCAAAAGCCAGCAACACTAAGGAGCTCCATATATGTACACATTAAGAAGCCAGTCACTCCATATGTGAACACCTTAAAAAGCCAGCAACATTAAAAGCTTTATGCTTCTCTTTGGTTGCTAATAGGTGCTTTTGTGATAAGATATATGATGGAGAGTAACTTGTATGCTTATATTTTCAATAAGATGACATTGTAAAAAGATGACTTTGTGAAAAGCCATAAAATTAGTTGTCCCTTATAAATGTTTAAAGTGACCCACAAGTTCACTGAAGCCAAATGATGATTAGTGTCTAACATTAGTTCTGTTCAAGGATGACAATTTCATCACTCACCGAACTGATGGCATCATTGAACTTCTGCTTTGTAACATAAACTTCCTGTGATTCTTTTATAACAACACTTAAAATCCAGTTTCATTTTACATCAGCACCTATCTGTGGCTATTCAGAATCTTGTTGCACAGATTCATTAACTTTATGATAATCACATGGAAGACTTGTCTGATATATATTGATAGTACTTTAGTGAAGGTTGGGTCATTTGAGAGATTTTCGATAAACTAAATTGCACTTCCACCATATTCCTACCAATTTGATATTGAAGAAACATGTAATTATGATATTTGAATCTGACAAAATCTGATGTACTCCACAGCGACCACCTTTCCCACAACAGCAACAACCTTCCATGCCACCGATGAGTTCAGCCAGTACACCCTCTCAGCAGCAACAGCAGTCTTCTGCAACTCCACAAACACCAAGTCCTGGGCAAAGTCCAAGCCCAGGTCAGGCCCAGGGCCGTGAACGAGAGAAAAAACACTCTGGTGGTGGAGATGAGGATGACGAGCACTGGCGTCAGAAACGTCAGCAGAGAAATGAGGAAATGTCTAATGCCATTGAGAGGGCTAGACAGAGGAGAGAGGAGGAAGAAAAGAAGATGGAAGGAGAGCGCAAGGCAGCTGCTGCTGAAAAATTGCGACAATTAGATGAAAGAACTAAGAAAAAGGATGGAAAACTTTCAGTAAGAACTTATTTTGCTTTTAAATAGTTTTATTCGGTAGCCAAATGATGACTTGTGTTCTAGCTTAGTTTCCTGTACAAAGATGACAATTTCATCACTCACCAGTCTGATGGCCTACTGAATGAAATGTTTTACCTGATAAAACTTTTAACACTCTAAATTGCAGCCAAGTCTTATATGATTGTCCTTCTTTATGGCATATTCTCTGTGAAGAAAATGCTGTTTAATTGGGTGTTTGTTACACAGGAATCTGACACTGATTCACACACTGAGTCCACACAGGCAGAGTCTCAGAAGTCTGAGGGAAGGACCAGCAGGACACCAAGTGAGAGTAGTGAGAAGGAGGGACGGGAACGATCCTACAGTCGCGAGCATAAGTTTTCACCAGCTGAACAGGTTTGCAACCTTTTTGATCATCCACAACTATCATGTAACAAACATTATTTTCGAGCAATGTCACTTTTGTTTCTAGTGCCAAATGATGATTAGTGATGAGCTTAGTTTTTTACAGAGATGACAATTTCATCACTCACCGAACTGATGGCACATAAACCACTCATTTCTTCAAGCTGAACTAGAAATGGAACAATCTTGTCAAGGAAAAAGTTTGAAATAAACAGGTCCATTGTAAAATACACTACATTTATAAGACTTTTGAAAATAATTCAGAAAAATGATACTAAATAAAATTTTGAATGTTATCAGCAACCAAGTAAGAGTGGATCACGAGCAGTGCCACCACGCTTCCAGAACAAACAGCAACAGCAACAGCAGCAACCAACTGAAAACACAATGAGGCAGCCGCAACCAACGCAACAACAGCCAGGATCTCCCCAGCCACATCCAGGGCAGATGAGACCAGGTCAAGGACCTCCACCACCCTGGGGACCATACCCATGGCCTCCAGGAATGCCAATGCCATTTATGGATCCAAACTTTCCAAGGCCACCAATGCCAATGCAAGGTGCTCATTTTTAAACAATAACCTATCATGAATTTTCATTTGTGTCAGCTTAGACAAGTTTGTAAACATGTTATAATATTTGTGGTAAAATTTATTTCGCACAGATCTTTAAATTGTCGTTAATTTGCAAGTGAAGAGGGATTGCCTGGATTAATTTTAGATAATGTGCAAAATGGTGTTGTGATTGAAGCAACATCACACACAGGATGTATAAAAATTTGTATAATTTTCAGAAAACCTTACTCACATAGGTAATTTTAATTGGTTTAGGATGTAAGTTCATACTGCAGCCTAGATTGATTCATCCATTCTGTCCCATTCAGCAACTGTTGGAAACTTATTCGTTAAGATTTTTCCTTGTCAGGTATGCCTATGTATCCAATAAGAAGAAGGAATGATTCGCATGGTTCTGGAACAGATAGCCAGGACAATGAAGGGCGCCAGGAACCATTTGATCGTGATCCCAGAGCTGATCCCAGAACGTGGAGCAGCTACTCAATGGCACATGGACATCCAGGACAGTATGATGGGCGACCTAGTCCATTCTATGACCGCATGTATCAGGAGTATGAACGAAACCTTTTGGACTATAATGACAGGAGGTAATTCTCAGTCATGCTTGTTATATTGGATTAATGTTTTAAGTGTACTTCATATTTGTTTCCAAGGATTAATTTTTGTCACCCGAGTTAATGTTGTGGATATTATCAGAAAAAATAGGTCACTACTTACTCTTAGATGTTTTTGTCCATACCCACTGCCCAAATAAAGAGCAGTTTTATTTAACATGTTATGCTATCTAGTATTTAATCATTTTTATGTAGTTGTAGCACTTAAACAAATTTTCAAATGATGCCTTTCACAGGGAACATGACAGGAGAGAGCGTGAAAAGCAGGAAAAGTTAAGCTATGATGATGACAAAGAATATGATGCAGAAGAATCTGAGGAATCCTCTAAGGAACCAGACCGGGAACGTCCACCCAGAGTACAGAGGGACCCATTTGATGATACCCCAGATCAGGGAGACCATCGAGACCATGACTGGTCACCCCAACCAAGGTAATTTCTGTTAGAAGCTGTAGGGATTGGAGATGTCATTTCACTTCAGTTACTGCCTTTTAGCAAACTTTTTGTTTTAAAGACAGGAAATTGAAGGATGCAAATTATTTTCATAGGTACAGTGGAACCCACTTATGTCATGTCTATTAATGTCACTTTCAGATAAATATCATGTTTTCTCAAAACACATGATTTTTTCCCCTATATATTCTATGTAATCCAACATCTAATGTCACTTATTTTCACCTTGGAAACTCCTGAAAAATGAGATTGATCTGCATACCTGTATGGTCTAGTTGGGTCGAAGAATGTCTAGTGCATTTTTTTTCTTAATTGTGTTAAAATGAGTTTTTCTATGTGTCTGACAATCTGCTGATTCTTTAGTATGCATATTGGAATCCATTTCAAAACAAAAGTGATTGTTTTGATAAAGACATTTCAGAATATCTTTAGATTTATTAGAACACATATTTGACACAAAGCTTAAGATGCTTAAATAATTTATTGAAACTTCAGGTTTCACGAAATTGAGTTTAGATTAGGCCTAATTGAACTTGTCTTAAAACAATTTCTTTTAGAAACAAGCCAGTTTGGAAAACTTCAGAAAAATTACCTCTGAGTTTAGAGGTCTGAAAAATGTGTCGACTATTAATGTGCTATTCTGGTTTTTAACACATTTCTCCCCGACAAATTGAACATGATATTAAGTGGGCTTCAATGTAATATCTGTTGGAAGCAGGGATTGGGATTTGAGATACCATTTCAACACATTTACTGCCTTTTAATGAAAGTTTTATTTTGACAAAAATGAATTGAAATGTTCTCTTATTTGAAATTTGGCAGTTGTGGATTAAATTATAATTGCTGAATTCTAGTTTTCCATACTATTCTTTACTGCATAGACATTGACTTCTTGTTATAAGTCATTTCCATCATTAAATGTTTGAACAAATATTTTTCTAATTGAAGAGAGGAGAAACCAAAGAAAGAGGAGAGGTCTAGAAAAGAAGAACATCGCGAGATGAAAGATCATGATGCTCGAGTTTCAGAGCATGAACAAGAACATAAAGAAAAGATAGAAAAGCCCACAAGGGATCGTGATCATCGGGACAAAGATCACCGTCGTGGTGAGGAGAAAGAAATGTTTCGAAACAAGGATGCCCCATGGGGCCACCCCAGACAGCCTGCACCAAGTAGGAATGAATATGACCGCTTTCCTGGAGTTTTACGCAGCATGGATGATGGAGGAAGACATTATAGCAGTAAGTTTGTCACATAGTGTTTCTCCATATTGTAACATTCCAAAATATGAACTGAAAGGAAAATTGATAATGTTCGTGATGGGTTGATAAGTAATCTATGGCACTTGAATGCATAAGAATCCTTATATTTTTTTTCAATTTTTTAATGTTATGCTCTGTTATTGATAATTTCTCATCAATACAGAAAAGTGGCAGACAATATGCTGACCAAGAAGTTGTTATTAGGTTCATTTGGATTCAAAGTAATTTATTTTTTTTTTATTCACTGTTTTTAGAAAGAGAACACCCCAGCTGTCCACCGCCCATCACCCCACAGCAGTCGCAGCAGAATATGCCACCTAGGAGTCACTACACATCACTGAAAAGGACTGCTTCAAACATGTCCACTAACTCAACAAGCACAGAGCGGAAAACAGAATCCCCAAAGGAATCTTCTCACTCTGAGAGAGACGGCTCTAGACAGAAGTCTTCAAGTAGGGTGTATGCTGTAAGTGCTGTTATAATAATCAGCTGTCTAGCATGATGAAAAGCTTTCCTATTAATAAAAAAAATTTAAGAAAAATGCTACTGTGTTAAAATATGATACTCTCTCCCTGCTAAAACTAACTTTATTCACTTGTTGGCTGTTTGGTTGCAAAGTCTGCTATACTATTACCATTCTGTGAGACATATTTTGTAAAGTTTATTAGGGCCCTGCATCAAGCCACATAAGGTATTGCCAGTCTATGAGACATATTCTGTAACATTTATTGACAAGTTGATTATAAGAAAGTGTTTTGATTGCCACTTACAGGACTCTGTAAAGGATAAACCTGTGAAAGAAAAGCAGTCAGAAGGCAAGCCACAGAAAGAGGAGGAAAGCAGGTAAGACTGTTTTAGTATTAACTATAGTTGCAACCTCTGCTTTTCATCTAATAGGAAATACATCATGAGGTCAGATTCCAGGCAGAAGCAAGTTAAGTGTCGACCTGCATAATCCATCTTTGTCTGAACTCCTCAGAAACCAAGATGAAATGTGTTCATTCAGCATTCTGTAATTAGGGACAGTCTGACTCAAAATCATGCTGGTCTCCCAGGCATCACTTTATCAAATGTGTTCTAGAATTTACAGAATATTGGTTAGCTGTTTGTGACTTCTATATGACTGATGGCTTTTTCCGATGAAGTACATTATTTTATTATGTCATTACAGGCAAAAGCCAAGGGAAGAAGAAAAGTCTGCACGAGAGGAAAATAGAGAACACAAAGACAAAAGTACAAGGAAGGAAGAGAAAGGTTTCCGTGAAAGGGAGGAACGCCCTTCAAGAGATGAAAATTCTTTCAAGGATATCAAACAGTATAAAGATGATGAGCCACCAAGTGATGAGCGACGTGAGAGAATACAGATGCAGCCACCTGCAAAGAAGAAAAGGGATGAAGCTTTTGTGAATGAGCGAGGAGATCGATACCGAAATAATGCTAGTAGAGGAGGACGCGAGTTCGTGCGTGGAAGAGGAAGAAGTGTTGGAAGTCGGGGAACAAGAGGAAGTTACCCTACCAGAGGAAGCAGGGGAGGAAGTTCAAGGGATAATAGAAGTTATGACCGAGGTGCTGCAAGGTCTGCAGGTGGTCGTAATGACCGTCGCCCATTTAGCCAGGGCCGTGATCGCTTTGGTGAAGACAACTATTATGCTGAGGGGGAAGAGTTGGAGGCTCCCCGGCGGCGCAGAATGAAGGATGAGGACAGTGATCACTCAGAACAAAGTGATTTTGGTACAAGTGACTCATCTGGAGAAGTGGACAAGAGAGACAATAACAAATCTGGTCCAAGGGACAAAGACAGAAATAAACGGCCTGGGTCTCGGGACAATCGAGGTGGAATCAGCCAACAGTTGGATGATCAAAGGGTTGATGATGGTGGTCATAGACAGTCTCATGATGATGGTGGTGAAAGAATCCAACCTCGACGTGATGATAGACGTGATGATCGACGAGATGACCGCAGAGATGATAGACGCAGTGATGACCGTAGACATGACAACAGGATGAACCAAAGAAATGGAGGAGGCTCTTTTGAACCAAGAGGAGAACCTTCCAGAAGAGGTCGTGGTAAGATTTGTTTCGGCAGAATCTAGTTGAAAAACTGTTAACCCTGATGATACAACATCAGGGCTTTTTTCTGAAGGGTCGATGGGGATGTGGGCCCCATTCACCATGTAATATGGCATTATTCCCCAAATATAGAGATTACTCCTTAAAATTTCCTTCACAACTGTTCAATTTTCTTCCCAAAATGAGATTAAAGGACCCTTTTCCAAATAAGGGAAAAAAATCCTGAACATTTATTGATCCAGGGATAAACATCCACATAGCATTCTTATTTTCATTATATATCTGGCAGTAGAACTGTTATTGTTGGAAAAGCCAGATATCAACATCCACAGAAAAATGTGCAGATATCTTTCATCTTGCTGAATGAACCATTATCTTTCCTGGGTATACATCAATGTTGATTTGGATATTTATTATCTTGAAGGTGGTTCTTCTATGCGAGGTCGTGGAGGCCGAGGACCTGGAGGAGGAGGTCCAGGTGGAGGGGGAGGAGGTGGTCCTGGTGGTGGAGGTGGACGGATGTCATCTGCACCCCCTGGCAGAGGGGGTTTCGGGAAGCCTGGAGACAAGGAAGATTGGGGTGGAGGAGGAGGTGGAGGGCCTTATCGGTATGTATCTTTCTGATTTAATGCTAATTTCAAATAATATTGTTTTGAATCTTATTTCAAATGAATGTTGTAGATTCCATAAATAGATCATGATAAATTTTTTTTTTTTTTTTTATCTTTGTTAATGATTGTTTGATTTCATTGCTAAATTTTGTTAAATTTTGTTTGTAGAAAAGAAAATAAAAGGCCCGGCCGAGAGCCACCACCACCAAGGTTTGCAATGAAAAAAGGGCTAAATTTAAACGAGAAGGGGAGGGGCACTGATCGTGGTCGAGGACGCGGGAGAGGAAGAGGAGGAAGTGCCCCTCCTAGCACCAACAATAAGCGGCCACAGCTTAGCAAACAAAACTCCTCAGACCAAGCTAATGAAGGAAACGAAGAGTGGGAAACTGCTTCTGAAAGTAGTGGAATCTTTGATAAGAATTCAAAAAACGAGTTTAAGGACAGGGAAAGAAAAGACTCCAACCCTGGTAAAAAGAGTTTCTCAAGTCAACGTCCATTTAATGATCGACAAAATAGAAAAGGAAATCAGCAAGATGGTGGTGGAAGGCGACAAAATGGTGGTGTTGATTATAATAAAAATTCTGGGAAGGAAAGGTCACCAAATCATCTTTCAAAAAATGGGAGTGGTCCTAGGGCTTCAAACGGGGGTCCTAGGAAACCATATAGCTCTAGTAAGAAAGAAAATATTGCCACAGTATACAGGATGGATGAAGTGGTACCAAACAACCAGAATGCTATCAACAATGCCATCAACAATCTCAAGTAAGTTGTTTACCTCAATAGCAACACTGACATCTCAAGGTGTAAAGATTCTATAGTAAGCTGCAATTATTGAATCCAGCTTTAGCAATGTTAAGAGATTTAGTGAGAAAATTAGGATACTGGGTAGTTAAAAAGTGATATTGTAATCAGATGTCAGGTTTGAGAGGAATGTTGGAGTATTTATTGAGATTTGACTTGTCCTTTTTCAGGAGTCGTCCGGGAAAGAAATCTGACCTCACAGATGTGTCAAAACCATTGAAATCAGAAGAGAAAAGAACAAGTGCATTGGCTAATATTGATATCAACAATTATGCAAGTAAGTGCCTGAAGACATACTAGTCACATAGAATTTGTCTCGGTTGTATGTTGATACATGCTATGATGAGTACTTACTATCTGTCAATCCCATGATCAATAGTGAATTTACTTCTATTCTGAGCATGTATTTACACAATGACCTAATTGTTTTCTTCAGACTCGTAACACAATACCTGAGATCTTGCCATTGTAGATATATTTGATGGCTTAAATAATCTTCCAAGCATAAGGCAAGTTGAAATAATACATGTTCCAAGATGTCAACACCAAAGCACTCAATCTCCTTTGAAAAATTGCAAAAAAAATTGTACTCCTAAGGAAACAAAATAACATTAAAATACTTGTCAAATGAAAATTCTCAACAAAATGTTTGTATGTTACTCCACATTATTTTGATTTTGTCATTAAAAATTGATTTAATGGAGAACCAGAAGCGTGTTGTTACAGTCCACCAAAGTTAACTTATTGCTAATGACAACAGATGCTGCACACATATTTGTCATTATAATTATCATTTTAAATACTACCTTGTTAATGCACAAGTATATTGACTATTTTTAACATTCTCAAATCTATCAAAAAAATATCAAAGGTATTGTTCTCAAGCTATTCATGATTTCTTGTTACAGAAAGGTCATGCAATAAGGATAATTTTATCTGTAAATACAATTATACTTATTTTGTTAACAGTTTCCAAAATCTAGTATACATCAACATTTGCAAACATGCATTAAGGTTTTTTGTTTGAACAGAAAATATGCCTTTGTAATATCTACATGACTGTAAGCAGATCGTTGAAATTCCTCACTAGGATATATGCAGTTTATCAAATCGTGATTGAAAACATGCAATGATGATCATTTTATCTGTCAATCCCATGATTAAACATGATTTCACTAAATACGTTCTGAGCATGTTGCATTATGTCTGAAAATGTAATTATGATAAAACCGTTTTAAATACTGAATTTGCTCAAATGTTTTCAAAGGTGTTTGCATAGCTGTCCAGAATACATAATGAAAAGCCAGCATCATAACATTTTGACAAGTGCAGACATATTGGATTTTAAATGTTTCCATTTCATATGTGGCTCTTGAAACTAATCCTATAGTTTTTCACACCTCTGGCAAGCTAATATGAAATCTGTGTGATAGGTTACATTATCTATTATGAAACAGAATCTAATTGAAGATCCTTTAAATTGTATCAATGATTATTTTTTGTAAGTATTTAATAAGAATTGATTTGTCATTTTTTTTGGTGTGCATTGATGATTTTTGGTCATTAATGTTATGGGAAAAGTGGGGGGTGGGGGGTTGGGAAAGTGGATGTGATTTTTCTTTGATATATTGTTCATTAGAGAATCTTGATGAGAATTTCACCACAGAGTGTTCCATTTTATGTTGTTTATGTAGCTATTGTGATCTTCATTGAGACATCAAATGCATGTGCAAAGTTAATGTCTTTTCATTATCATCTCCTTACATCACAATGATATATTACTTTAGTTCATATGCAAATATATTTCATCGATGTTTACACTATATAACTTGGCAGTCATATGATTTCCTTTTTGTATAAAATTGTCATTGTAATATGTTGTTTTATCAAGTTATGATTGAAAACATGCAATGATGATCATTTTATCTGTCAATCCCATGACTAAACATGATTTCACTAAATACCTTCTGAGCATGTTTCATGAATTGTTGTTGAACTGAAAATGATATGAAAGTACTCTTAAAAATTTTAAACAAATGCAATTTGAGATATGTTTTTGGGTACATGTCTAGAGGTAAAGCCTTGTGATATATTACAGGTGTCGTGGTGATTGATGATGCCCCAGAGGTAACCATTGATGATCCAAATTTCCTGTTTGACCGTAATGAAGGTTTTCAAGAGGTCACCTCCAAAAAGGCATTTAAAAGCAAACAGAAAGCTCAACAGGAGGCAGAACTAAGACAGAAACTTGTGGAAAGCAAGAAATCTGCTGCAAAGGTAAATACACTCATTGACATTAAATCCATTGGACACTTTAATAATCACCAATAACTAACTATCTTGAATATGTTTTCTGTATTGTTTCTTGTGGACATGTTTGAGAGAGTGATATAGGAACACATACTTGCAATTGCAAATCAAGGGAGGAAGCTAAGATTCAACAAATTTTGCCAGTGGCCTATGATGCAAACAATTTTGTATTCCCTTGCTTCATATGAAGGATTTATTGGTACAGTGAAAGAATATTACTTGTAAATATACATAAAAGTTGAAAACTTTTAAAATTGACATTACCTGGTGTAGTTATTGAGCGTGGTAATTGAAATGTGTTATTATAAATGGCATTATATGCAGGTATTTGTTTATAAATATGATTATCTTTCTCTTTGATTATGCTTAAAGGTTGTTGCTAAACCTAAAGGTGTAGGGCAGATAAGTGAGAAACCAAGACATGGCAGTAAGAGTAAGTTACCCCCACGTCTGGCAAGACAGAGGGAACAGCGCGAGAGGGAAAAGACAAAGCCATTTGACATGAAGATTGAAAACTGGGATAATGAACTTGCAAACAACATCCCTTCTGCTGCTGAAGCCATGGATCAAACAACAACTGATGTCAAAAGTGAGTCTACAACCGACCATTTTTATTAGTTTTGTCAGCTGTGATGGAATAAGCATATTTATCAATCCATCATGAATATTCATTTGTGCTGAAATATATTACTTTGGTATTTATTCCTGAAGTTTATTAAGAAAATGTTTAGCCTTATGTGATGCCATTCATTTTACAGACGCCATTGAACAGGTGAATAGTGTAGCAGTAGGGTCCCCTGCCACTATGCAACCCATGCATGTGTCTATGAATGGTGCCATGACCCACGTTTCAGCCCCTGTCAGTGCCTGGGTGTCCAAACCTATCAGCTATGCTGCTGTCACAGGTGCACAAGTGTCTGCTGCCAATGTGGAGAATAAATTTGACAAGGGGGATCAACACGATAGTGGAATTGATGTTAGTGACCAACCTAATTCTGCAGGCTCTTCAACTAGAAGCTCCCCAAGTGCAGAAAATAAATTGAAGATAGATAAGGTGAAGAGGATTGTTAAAGCAGGACCCCATTTTAGAGTTCAAGATAATTTGAGAAAAACAATCTTTTATTTTATTTTTGCCTTCCCATTAATTTTAGTCCCCATGATTTTGAAAATGCAAAATGTTGTATGTGGAATAAGCCGCTGTTATGTTGGCTGTTTACTTTTGTTTGATAAGTGTTGTCTTGTAGCCTTGTGATCTTAATTTTGTTATCCATTTCTTTTGGTAAAAATTAAATTAAAACCCAGTTCTTGAAATCAGAGAAGAAATCAATTTTTTTCTGCACTTTTGGTTTACAAGTCCAAACAAGCCATTTGTGTTGGTTGGGACTTGGCTTGATTGCTTTTCTTTTTGCTTTATCTAATCTAACTGCTTCAATTAATTGCTTCAATTGTTAATTTCACTTGAGTTTCTTTGTTTCAATCACTTGCTTTTCCATTGCACGTTTTTAATGCTGAGCAGTGTTTGACATTGATTACACTATGATCTGATTTTGTGTTAAGCTTGTTTAATTCAACCATAACTTTCATGAATCAGAAATATATTTCTCTCAATGAATTATACTAATCTCCAGCTAACTTTGTAGTAATATCATACACCCATTCACCAAACATGTTAAAGTAAATAATTGTACAAATGTTCACAAATTAACTTAAAAAGAGTTTTACCTTTAGAAGAATTGATCAATAAGATTGTTTTGCCTGATGTACACAATATCAAAATGCTCCGTGGTTGAAATAATTCTCATGATATTAGTAACTTGACAAAGGTTGTCAATTATGATTAGGGCAATCTACTTGCTTTTGAAATTTGTTTGTCTACTGTTATTTTGTTGAATATGTGTAATGGCAGACTGAAGAAGTTAATACAAGGAATTTTTTCTTTTGAACATTTGCAAAAAGTACCAGCACAAGTTTAATGCTATACATTAATGAATGAAATTGTGACGACTAAGCTTGGTTTAGTAATGATTATTTTTTAATGTAGTGTGCTATTAAAAAAAGCACTGAATTAATTTCATGATTCAATAGTAAATAATTTAGTAGATATGTTTACTCATAGTGATAACTCTTGGCCATTGAAAAGAATTTCATTGTGGTAAATCATCACACTTGCAGAATGAGAACAAGATACCTGTTATAGCAGTGGATATGAAATCAAGTGATGCCCCCAAACCACAAAGGCAACCAAAGGTAAAGAAATGTTTCTCGTCACACATTGCTATATTATTCCTTGTTTTCAGCTGCTGGGTGAAGCCCACTAGCTTGTGCTATCATGCCAGCCGAAAGGGTTTATGGACAGGATAACTGGAAAGCAACGGATCTATTTGACTTAACTTTTGCAAATATTGTCGTACATGGAGGACCAGATCAGACAGATCCCTTTGTTCGGGATTACTGATTATCCGTTTGGTTTTCATTAATTTATTTTGGAATTCATCCTCCTCAAAATGTTGTATATAGTGTCCGCAGAGCAGGCCTGTTCTTACTGTTAGAGGCCATACCAAAGGGAATTCTGTTCATAGCGTTTGTGCCATTGAAACTGTTTTGTGCACTTTCAGAATCTGCTTTTGAGGGGCCACAAAAGGGAAAATTCATCTCTAAACATTTTCTATACTTCATATGTAACTATTATACCAGAAGCTTGTGTATTGTCATCTTAACTGAAAGAACTATGAGAATGAAATTTAAAACTAAATGATCATTACGATCAATCAATATCAGTAGTATAACATACTGATTGATATTAATGACTTAGTCTTGATTGACCTGGGACCTTAGTGACCTATATATTGACATTTGGTGTATGATTACTTTGCATTGTTATAATATATATGATTGAAAAGTATATGATATTGATGACTAATTTGACATGAATTTTGTTACTTATGTATTAATTTTTCACATAACATTGTAACAAGATGTGGAAATAAAAAATATATTTATTAATTTACATTGATGGTTATTCGACCTTTGACCTTTTGTGACTATATATTTACTTCTGGCATACCATTACCATTTTAGAATACAGGCATTTTATTTATTGATAGTGCCTTTATAAAAATTATCTTGTTTTTTAAGGTGCATAAATTTTTTGATAGACTACCTCATAATTGCTTCTTGTGTAGACTATAGGACGGTTCTGATAATCATGGTTTCCTTGTAGGTTACACGCAGTGAAAAGGTCAGTGTGAAGGAAACTATGGACAAGCCAGATTCAAAAGTGGTGAAAAAACCTGAAATACAAAAAGAAAAATCACGAAATACAACATCAATTGAGAAACCAGAACCAATACAACTTCCTAGCTTCCCATTTGGAAAGGTAATTGGAGACACTTAAATTGAAGTCAGGGCTCCTGTGATATGCTTTTTGTGTTTTTAAATTCATGTTTTGTGAAGATATTTCCTTACAAAAATTGAAATAGGTTATCTAGAAAGAAAAGAAAAAATGTGTCCTTTTAAGAGAGGTTAGCATCAAATAGATTAATACTATAGTGTGGCATAGTCTATGAGGGACTGGATTTGGGTGGTTAAAGGATTAAGATTTAACCATTATATTTGAGAGAGTTGAGTATATTTCTATACAGGCTTTGCTTACTTTAACAGATTCATGTTGATCCAATATATTTGGTCTGATTTGTTTCATAGGGAGATGATGCAAGCGAGATAAAGCTAGACTTCGTCTATGATGATGCCCTGGCAAAGTTCCCGGAGAAAGTTGAGCCAGAGAAAGATATAGACATGGTGGAACCCAACATCTCTGTGGTGGCAATGTCTATTGCCAGTACAACAGTGAATACTCAATCTATGGACACCACTTGTCCAACATCGCCTGCAGCACAGGATCTTAATGAGAAAATTGCATCTGTGAAGACATTCTGGGACCAAGTTGACCAGATGTCTCCAGGAATGGTCATGTTTGAGCAGGGGTAAGATCAAATGCTTTATTATTTTAGCATTTAAGTTCATTCGGAACTATTTGTATGATTCTTGTATGAGACTTATTCATTTTTGAGTAAAACATAGCTGAATTTATTTCTGAAGATTGGACAATATCCTCTAAATTCCTTTGGTCGAGTTTGTATATTTGATTATATATGAAACTGTGGAATTTGTTTGCAGAATAAATACCTCTGGATTGGTGAGTGCAGTGTCAACATCAGAGACTGTATCAGTGTCCGACTCCTTTAGTTCCTTTCCACCTGACATGGATACTGGGGTGATGGTGAGCAATGACACAGGCCTTGACCTTGACCCAGTAACCCGAGGAGACGACAACAATAGTAGCCTGGCAACCAGTTTGTCACCTCGTGAGGATGGACTCTCCTACAGCTCCAATTCTGTTGAGGTCAGCGCTACCCTAGGGGACAACGGAAAGGCTAACGAACAAAGCAATGTCTGCAAAGTAAGACCAGAGTTGCAGTGTACACCATTGTTCATCTGTTTGTATATGCATGAACTCTGCAAATGGTTTTATTTGCTTATCTTGTAGAAAAAATATTGAATGTTTCATGGGGGAATATCTCAATTAAGTTGAGATTTATTTACTTTCTTGCATTACATTATTTTAAAGATGTGTTAAACTTTCTGCTTATAGTGAAGAATCATTTTGTGATTTTGGTTTCTGTGGATCTGCTTTTTTGTCCTTGTGATGTGTTTGACTGTGTGAAAATATCTATATATGTCTAATCGAAGACTCCAATATTAGTCCTGAAAAGGTGGATTAGAGCCAAATAATTGACTACAACCACTGCTTTTTTGACAGGTGAAGCCCCAACAGCTACAGGCATCCCTTGGTGGAGACTGCAGTAGTGGCACTAGCAGTGTGTTGAGTAACCCCTCAAGTGTGCCAAGTCCGCCAGCTTTACAGCCAATTTTGCCCACTGTGTCTCAACAGACCTATCAGGCCTTCCAAATGGGAACCTCACAGCTAATCACTCCTGAACCAAGGGTACTAATTTCTGTATATATTTGAATTCTTATTAAAGGTCCTGATACTTTGATGGAGTCAGCATTGATGCATTTGAAAGGAAATCTATGTTGTCTAGAAATAAATTTGAATCTGTTGAATTATTCTTCTACATTGATTTTGGTATGGTCCTCTTTTTTCAAAAAAGAGTTCTTGAAAGTGACTGTAAAATGTAGACTTGTTTCCTGCGATATTGTATTTATAGTAAATCCGATAAATGGTTGAATGTGAGTGTGTACTTAATTTCTTTAATTTTGCTTTCAGCAGGTACAAAACCAACCCGGTTTCGGTGGTTATGGTTTGAGCCAACAGCAACCTCAGCTGGGACAGACATTCTCACAGCAGAGCTTGTTTATGCCTACAACACCGACCCAGTTGGACTCCTACCAACTTCCCCAGCTGTCTGCCTACACACACAGGAACCAGCCAGCCCAACATCAGCCACAACACCAGCCTCAGGCTGCATTTGGGCAAAACCCTGCTCCCCAGAATACTATCATGGTGTCATCTGCAACCTCCTCTCTCATGTCAACATCTATAAAACCGCCACAAAATGCATATGGTGAGTAACGTGAAACAGATTTTAAATGATATTGGTCCAAATCATGCTGTTCATCCTATGATTTATACTTGTCTTCTGAACATTTCAGTTCTTTATTGGTCTAGTCAGTTTGATAAGAAAACAATGTTGTGTAATTTATGATGTAAATCATGGTCAGTGATTGATATTGTTTTAGTAACTGTGAGCCTGAATTATATTATGATGCTGCTTTAATTACAGGGACAACTTTACAAAAGAATATGGGACCCAGTTCACTTCAGTTTGGACAACAGGGACTGAGTAGTAATCTGCTCCAACCTTCACAGCAGATCTCCTTCTTCCAGTATGACCCCAACCAACCTTTTGGTACCAATCAGTTTCTCGGCAACACACAGACTGCTCAGAATGTGAACACATCACAGATTCTTGGCTCCCAGCTTGTTCAGCCCAGGTAGATCAATCTCATATGTTCCAAAAGTCTTGTTAATGCATTGTTAATCTAGTTTCACAATTATTGCTGTTGAAATAATCAATATGTTAAAGTTACTTGTACACCTTGGTGAATGTGGTTGGATGTTTCTCATTATAGAGCTGCAGTTCAGAATGTACCACAGGTGCAGGGATCCTCTTCCTTTTATCAGCAACCACAACAGAACATTCAACAAACAAGTTTTTTCTCGACACAGCCAGGTTCCAATAATATGCAGGTAACAGTCACACTATCAAAAGGTTATTGACTTGTTAGTAGTATATGATCATCTAAAAGACAGTTTTATAGAATTTCCGTTAAAGTTGAAATATTTGATTTTTGTTAAGAATTCATTACAATTCAGAGTTGTATTAGCAAAGGATTTATAATGATTTCTCTTTTATTCGTCCCCAGCACCTGGGAAATGGTAATAGGAAGAGTGGTGGTGAGCTGGTGTTCCAGGCATGTATTCTACAGGGTGCAATACAACAAGCAGCTGCAGCAGGCGGACAAACCGCTGCCCAATTCTTTGGAAACCAGTCAGCAGCAGCAGCTGCTGCTGGGCCTGGACTAAACCTTTCTCTGCAGCCCTCAGGTGGAGCTCAGCCACCCATGGGTGTGGCCACACCTCAGCCCTCCAGTGGCTCAAAGCTGTCACAATTTAACCCATCACAACAGCAACAGCCACAACAGGGCTCACCACAGAGCACTCCGGTAATTCACTTTTTATCAATGGAATGTTTTATTGAATCATAGTTTATGGTACCTACTAGGATGATAATGCCAGTTCACTATTACTTTTCATAGGAAGTTGTCTAACATTCAATTCATTTCTCATTCATTCACTAAAATGTGTTTTAAGCAGATTTTTTGGTCTTTTTTATGAAAGCTAATTTTAGTTTTTCAATCTTGTATACAAAATTAATGTTATTTTTTGTATTAATTTGTGAATAGTTGAAATCTCCGCCACAAACCCTAGGTCAGAATAGTTTTGGAGTTGCACCTTCCTCTGCATCTCAGCAGCAGAATCAAGGCTCCAAGTTATTCAACCTGAGTCAACTGCAGACTCCCAACACCAACCAAAGATTCAACAATGTGAGCTTCAACAACAACTTGCATAACAATATGTCCAACATCTCCACCAACATGGCCAACATGTCTAACATGAAACAGTTTGGAGGGCAGAAGTTCAACCAGCCATTTATCGGACAGCCACTCCAATCTGCAGGTAATGGGTTTTAAACTCCCCAACACTTCTCATGTGATTTATTATTTGTGTCTTTTAATAATTATCCCCAAATGTATTTTTAAGTGATTTGAAGAAAGGAAACAAGTTTTGGCTAAGCATTGTACAATTATTTGGAAAATTCCAAACCTTTTCTTATAATATGTAATCAACAAGTTCAAAGATAGGTGTTTAAATGAATGCCAAAATGTTTAGATATAAATAGGTAATTTATATTTTGAATGTATATCTAATCACTGCTTTTCATATTCTCATCATCGGTAATTGCTTAATTGCAGGCCCAATGGTGAGATCTCCCATGATGGTGAATAACTTCAGACCAAGTGCACCTCCAGTTCCTGCCACGTTTCCTAACCCCATCCAGCGGCCTGGAGGGGTCCAGATTCCTGGCAGTCCTCGACAACAACGCCCTCCACAGGTAGTACCCCCAGCAAGCATTGCGGCGGTCCCTGCATCTGGGGGAAACAACACCATAAAAGCCCTACAGGCTAAACAGAGACAGGAGCTTCTGGCACATGCACAGAATTTCCTCAACCCACAGAACAAACCAAGCATCAAGCTGAAGGCAGAGGCTTCTGTCAACGACAGTAAGAGCCCCCCTCAACCTGCTGCATCTATGGGGGCAGTGCCTGTGCCTAGCCCAAACTCAACAAGCACCAAGAAAGCAGATGAGAAGGGCACTGAAAAGAAGTAACAGTTGCCTTCCAGTAATCTTGGAGAGATGTACTGAGCAACTAGGTTTTTTATCATGAAGTACTGAATTTTTATTTAATTATCATTAACTCGTGTTTTAGTATTTAGACTTGTTTTGTGATAATCTGTTGTATGAACAGCTACAAGATAGCACATGGACATTTCACATCAAGATTTGGAAAAAAAACTTTCTTGTGACATTAACATTTTGAGTAATATGAAACCAAGAAAAGACATGTGTTTTGATGAAGTTGAAATAGAGTGGACAGGGACTAGCAAACAGAAGGAAAAAAGAAGTGTATTCATGGACATTTATTGTGACATGGATTGATTGGAGGAAGGATTGACGTGTTCACAATTGTCTGGTACCATCTATGCACATGTACCAGACAACACTTGGTGATCATCCATGCTTTTGTGATGTACAGTAGATATGAACATGTATACATGCACCTATGGGGAAATCATTAGCTTCTCGAAACGAATATTGCCATAAGTATTATTGTATTATTTATTTATTATATTTATCTGTTTTCCCAATGGGACACGGACGGGAATTGAGTGTTAATATTTTCTTCGACCCTAGTCGTAGATTGTAAGTAACGGGCCATGACTGCCTCAACAATTATACATATGTATACATACAATGTTGATACTGGTGTACCCCATAGGTGGCATAGGTAAGGAGTTTACATACTTTTAATTTACTATATAGCAAGTGCTGTAATCTCACCTCTTGCCATGTAAAACAAAAAAATGGATCTGACATGTTCTATTTAGTATGCATGCATTGTGAAATGGTAATTTAGCATTTCAAATCACTTGTAAATTAGCATGTTTGCACACAAAGTATGGGATAGGTTAGGCACGTCAGAAATGGATGTATAAAAGGCTTTGAGGGGAAGTGCTAGTTCTGTAGTAAGTTGAACTTCTTGGTCATTTAATGAGTATGGAGGATGACCAAAGAAAAGTTAGATGTCCACCTTCTGTTAATAATTCTGATAGTTACTGTATAGACTTTAAAGTCTAGGGAAAGCTGAGCACACAGAGATGCTGGAGATTCGATATTTAGTTCAAGAATTCAATGAACACAAAACTTTGAGTTGTGATTTTAACATTTCTAGCTCAACATTTTTAAGTGAAAAGAGGAGATGAGGGAAAGGAGGAAAGTCAATGAAATTCAAACATAAGATTTATGAAGAATGAATCTTAAAGCTACCAAAAGGCCAAACATTTTGCCTCTGAATTACCAAAATGGCGAACATTATCAGTTTGGAGTTGGTTTTAATTTAGGTATACGTTGTGTCGTATGCAAGATACCTTGGGATGAATTTGTGATGGTTACTGCAAGATGCCCCGATCACCAGTCTGTCCGTGCTGCTATTGCCCCAGTAGCCTGGCAGATCTGGTGAAAAGAAAACTCATTTACATGTTATTAATATATAAAACTTCCAGCGTTACCTGGTGGACTATGCCCCAGTCCCTTGGTGACGATTGGACCATTCTTACCTTACGAGTGTGACAAGGGCAAGGCCACCATGGCTGCCCACCATGTAAACATGCCCTGTCCTTCACTCAGCTGTGTGTTTCATTTTCTTCATGGTTAGTATTCTTTATAGATACCCCACCCCTTTTTTCACACGGTTCTTAATTTAAACGAAAAGACTGATGTCGTTTGCTAGTTTGATATTTAAGTAGATGAGGATATATATGTGAAGAGCTGGTGTTTTTTTTTAATTGTTTTTTTTTTTTTTTTTTTAAATTCAAGGTCTTTGTGGTTGATACTGTGGAATTGCACAAGTTGATGTGAAAACGGTTAGGGCACATTACTCAGTGATGATGTCCTGATTCGTTCGGTTTTTGTGTTGCAATACTTGTGTATGTAGAGGAGGTATGTAAAGGTATAGAGTTGGTTGTATACAGGATGGATGCATGTGTATTGTATGTACATGCATGTGCTGGTGTGATATTTTAACAGAATTGTGAGTGGTGGTCATCTGCTCTTCCTACTCCCAAATGGGGCGAGGAGATGTCATTGTGCGAAGGTGATTGACAGACAAGGTGCTAAAGCATGTCATGTCGGTTGTCTTATAACATCCATCAACTTTCTACTCATTTATATACCACAGATTTTATGTTCAGTTTCTATTTGCCTCCAAAGTCATCTGTATGTAGCTCTGAACAAAATAAAGAGCGCTCTGATGTAACCAAGTCTTGGACTTTTTTGTTCTCAACACATTGATTCAGCATCAATGTGATATTTTCCAATTTCTTTAACAATAAAGATGTATGACTTGTATTGAATGTGTGTTCATCGTAGATGGAGACAAATTTGATGCTAATTTTACTGTTAATGTCAAGGTTGTTTGATAAACACCAAAAAGATTTTAATGTAAACTTGTGATTTCAGAAATGGGATGATGTGAATGATGTTTTAACATGTTATTTATTAGCAAGGTATATCAAAATCGGATTAAATTTTATCCTTTAATGTTTAGAACGGATGGATTTTCTTCAATCTTTATGGAAATCTTAGTACATCATTCTGATTAAGTCTCCAAAAAACCTTGAAAGTAAATAGACTTAAATTGTACTGAAATCCTGTGGTTTGAAGCAGATAAATACTTAGAGGCCAAATGTAAGAAATGATTGTGATTCAAACAATTTAATATTTCAACTCTTCACTCAAGACCTTAGAAATGGGTCGATGTTATATATAAATGAGAGAACAGCATTAACTTTCCACTCTAGTATGTCGTAGCTAACATGTATGGAGGACGTACAACATGCATCCTGTCGGTAAGAAATACATTTATTGCTTGGATAAATGATAATTTTGTGTCAAAATGCCAAGGGAGAGATATGGAAGTTGTATGTTTTGATAATAGAACACACTAGATTTTAAAGAGGAGCTCAAAATCTGAAGAACTTCAAAAGCCTAAAAAAATGAAAGGGCAATAACTTGATAAAATGTGGTTGAACCACATGGCTGTTCAGGAACACACAAACACATTTTAAGGCTTTAAAGTCTACAAAGGTACAAAGAAATTTGGTTAAACACAGGGAAGAGATACCTTGACATGATCAAAATGCAGATAAAAAAATAAGTGGTTACTAACTCTTAAAACAATGTTAAACAAATCTCCTGAAATCTACAGTTCTGTCAAAGATTAATAAGATGAAAACAAGGGGCAGTAACTCTTTCAAGATACAGTCAAATCAAACCATTTGGAGAAACAATTTTAGGTCAAGGTGATTAATGCTTTGACAGAAGTCTCTTGAAAACAGGTTTTCAGACATTAAATCTATGAAAACAATAACCAGTAACTTTTAAGACAGTTGAAGCAAACTGCTGTTCAGGAAAATATGTCATGATGATGCTGTTCAGGAAAATATGTCGTGGTGATAAAGAAATTTGAAAGATCATTGGAAAAATTAAGACAGTATCTCTGGACAAACAAGACATTCCATCATTGTTTGGTCTTTATTTGTTATTTTCTATTCTTTTCTCTGATCTTTCTCCGAATTAAATGAAATTTGAAAGTTTCTTTAAACTAAGAACCAATATGAATTTATGGATGTGTCTCAAAGAAATAGTGACAGCAAATTTTCACTGCCAAAATCCGAGATGGTTTGACTGTTAGCCATTTAGATTCTCCAATCAGTCTAGAAATCAAACTGGCATAACTAGGAACCAAAGGGGAACCTACATATGTAGTTTCAGAAATACCCTTCCCGTACACATTTTGATAACAAGGATTGCTTAATATTGACAACAGACCCTCAAAGATGTAGGGTGATTTGAAAAGTCCACCAGTTGATAATGGTGTGATGCTAAAATTTTATGATGGATGAATAGACAAGAGGCCCATGGGCCTTAAGGGTCATCTGACTGTACTCGACTATATAAGAAAGAGGCCAAATAGGCTTAAAATAAGTTGCTCGATTACACTGTCTATTACATTAAAGACATTGGTTGGTGCATTAAGACAATTTTTGCAAGCTTGAAATCATATTCTTCATACATGCACTACACAAATGCCATTACTCCAGACATATTGCTTGTTGATAAAGCATACTACAGGCCGAAATATCAAGACCCTTGGCCTTTTGGTTATTCAGAAGATTCTTAAGCATTTCTACAAAGTTGACCCCTGTAACCTTGACTAGGTCAAGGTGAACCAGCTTGGTAGCAGTCATACTTCCCAGCATTCTACAGCCCGGTATCATTAGCCTGAGCCTTCTTGTTATTGAGAAGTCATCCTGGCCCTTCAAGTAAAATGATCTTAATAACACAATACCATAATACATCCTGTCAACGGTAATGGCATGACATTAATCTAAGGTCAGCTCAAGGCTGTTCAGTTGTTATAGGGGGGACGAGTGGGGGATCAAATTCATAATTATTGCAATAATTATCAAACTAAAATATTTTTTTTAAGTTTTTTTCTCTTAAATGTCATTTGATGATATATTTCAAAACCTTCATTAGAAAAAATTACCAAAAAATATGCCATTGTTTAAAAGTAGGTCACGGTAATTAAGTGCCCTAATTACTAATTAAGTCACACTCGAGCATCGTGTTTTGTCTTAATGCATCTATAAACAATACGTTTATCACGTGCAGTTACAACTTAAATTGCAAGAGCACCAGTCACTATCTTATTCTGGTCAATGAAAATGAATATTGAATTACACTGTATGAAAAATTATTTCAAATAAATTTTACAGTATAATAATTCTTCCGTGCATTAGTTGTATTCTTGAGCTTTAACATAAGATGGTGTGACACTAGAGCTTTAACATCAAATAGTATGACATCTATCTATGATGTATACCTTGTTAATGGTCTTGTTTCAAACACTAGCAAACTTCAGTAATCTACAATGCAGTGTATGTAACACATGGTATATCCAGATATATAAGTATACTTTGTTTTGTGCAGTTCGTACATGCATTGACTTGTGCACATATCTTGTGTATCACTAAAATGTTAAATACAATTTCATTCATACAAGTGTGACATATATATATAATAGTATTATAGTATTTTGTTTAGTTTTAATTAACTTTTTGTTATTTTTGTAAAATGCCAGTACACAAGCAGTGTGCTTGCTGCAAAGCAGATTATAAAGTCAGAATATATTGTCTGAATCAGGCAGATGTTCTGTCTTTCGTGAAAGATAACATCAATAAAGATTTATGTTTAGGTGACCCTGTATCTAAAAAATGCAGAGGGAGATTCAACAAATACCATGAACCATTAGAGGATTCTAACAGTGGTTTAGACCATCAGAATGAGACACCTGACTCTAAAATAATCAAACTTGATATTCCACGAGCTTCGCTTACTGAATCGCAATGTTTCGTTTGTGGAAAGTCCAGAGATGAAAACAGGTGTACAATATTTGGACTGAATATTCTAATGGACTGACCCCAATATCAGGCTGGTATTGTCAATGTAAGGTTGAGGCCAGAGTAGTCGGCAGCTGTGCCCACATTGCATCTGTCCTATGGTATCTTTCTTATGACCAACACCAGTCTGATACAGCACAAACAACTGCATCCTCAAGTTTCCTTAGTTGTGTTGATGACGCAATGACGGTGGAGAACTGGTCAGATTGTGATTGTGACAGTGACAGTGACTCCTAAATGAATATCCCAACACCACCATTCCCCTTACTAAAGCAGTAAACAAAAATACAATCCCGTAAGTAATAGACAAAGGTCATTTATAATCCTGTGAAACCCGGTGCTAAATTGAATTTTTCCATTTTAATATCATCCATATTTGCAGAAATGTTTCAAATAAATACACTGCATGTGTTAAATGTATTGTTTATAGATGAATTAAGACAAAAAATGGTGCTCAAGTGTGACTTAATTAGTAATTAGGGCACTTACTTACCGTGACCTACTTTTAAACAATGGCATAATTTTTGGTAATTTTTTCTAATGAAGGTTTTGAAATATATCATCAAATGACATTTAAGAGAAAAAAACTTTAAAAAAATATTTTAGTTTGATAATTATTGCAATAATTATGAATTTGATCCCCCACTCATCCCCCCTATAACAACTGAACGGCCTTGAGCTGACCTTAGATTAATGTCATGTCATTACTGCCTGACCTCAAGTTTTTAATAGACAAAAATAAAAAGTATTCCTCATGGCCACCAGAAGGCCCAAAATGGCACTCCTCCTTTGATGAAAGGGGAACAAAAGGAGCACAAAGAGTTCATGCAGAGACCCCTTAAGAAAGCACAATGAGAAAAGACCAGGTTTTCCATTAAGAAGGTGAGGACAGGGTAAGGATCTTCTGCTTCATCAACAACAACAGACATGTAAGCCTTAGGTTAATCCAAATAAGTAATATCATGGTCCAAAATGAGAACAATGGTAACAGCAACAGAACCAGCAGGTATTTTGCTTGGTAGCCTTATCATCAAAATCCTTCCGAGATATTGATAATAACCTTTGGCAAATTATACACAAATAAGGCAAAGACTTAAGTTTTATGACACAATAAACTTTAATTTTTTAGATATTCATCAAATATATTCTAGATGCATCACAAATAAATAATATTACAAATTGAAAATGTAAACAACTCTAATGACTTGTGAATATGTGTACTATATGTTTGTATTCATGATGAATCTCATATAGTTTTATTCTCTTTTCTGTGTACAGAACGAAGATTTATGTTAAAATCATGATATAAACCTGTCACGTTCTTATGAGATAATTCTAGAGGATTTTCAAACACTTTATAAAAGTTTGTAAATTTTGTGTGGAGGAAGGCTATGGAGTATAATTTGTACCATACATTGAAACGTCACATCTAAACCTGATTATTCGTAAAGTAAAGTGAAGTAATAACAGAGTTAGACATTTTAGACATGATAACTGATAAATGGGACACGTACTCCACTAAAATGTGTATGACTGAATGAAACAGCAGATAAAGTGAATGATAACTTTCAAAATATAAGATGAGATTGAGCTACTTTGAGCAATATTTCTGGACTTCATATTGCATGATAGCAAGACATATATTATCAGATAAAAGATTCTAGTTTGAAAATAATCTTCTGGGTTCTAATGAAGAGAATAAAAAAAAAAATCATTATTCAATAATAATGAAAGAAAAAACCAAATTGTGATTCCTCGTGTTGGGTAAATAAGTATATCCTATTTATCAAAA